TTTTTTCCCTGAAAACATGCTTAAAGAATGAGGCAAAGTCTTATCACCTTTCCTTTTAAGAATCATCCTGGTCATACTTCCTCCAGGACAGACATATTCTTTTGGCAGTTCATGGAATATTCAGTATTCTTCTCCAAAACCACTATCAATACTTGAAATTACCAAACAATATCATTAATATCATATGCAAGCAAAATAATGCTGATGATCATTTAAAAAATAGCCAGAACAGTATAGAGATAGTGAACTGCCAGAAGTTCAAAAAGGATTTAGAAGAGGCAGTGGCACCAGGAATATCACTGTTGATGCCAGATAGATCCTGACTGAAAGTAAAGAATACCAGAAGAATATCTATGCAAAGGCATTTGACTGTGTGGATCATAACAAGTTATGGCTAACATTGAGAAGAATGGGAATCCCAGAACACTTAATTGTGCTCATGTGAAACATACACCTAAATCAAGAGACTTGTGCAAACAGAGCATGGGAACAATATATGGTTTAAAATGAAGAAAGAAAGGGAGCTCTGGTGGCTTAGTGGCAAAAAGCTGCACTGCAATCCCAGAGGCACACGGTTCAAATCCACCAGATGCTCTGCTGGAGAAGGAGGGGCAATCTCCTCCTGTACCAGTCAGATCTGATCTGATGGTACACACACAAAATATAATAAAATAAAATTTAAAAAAAAACAAACACAAAACCACAGCCTGTTGGGTGTAGGATGTTATAATGCTGAAGCAGACTGAGCTTAAAGGTAACAGAAAAAAATTAGTCAGCCACAGCCAAGAAAATTCAAGGTGGTCTTTGAACCTGTTCCACTTTCATTTTAACTTCAAGAAGTCTCTAAATTTTCTCTCATAACCTTCAAAGGGTTCAGATGAATTAGAATACATAAAGTACTTAGTTTAGTGCCCTTTGCAAAGTAGATCTTTAGTAAATATTTAGGAACCCTTGATGGTATGCACTTAAGTAGAATGATCTCGATCTGATGGCCCACGCCAATACAGATCACAGCCCAGGAAGCCCTGGGTCACATGGGTCACTATGTGTCAAAACTGACCCGATGGCATGTAAGAACCATGAATGTTTATGTCTTCCTTCCGTCAGCTTCTCAAAGCAGTAGAGTCTTGTTTAGCATTTAACAGAATATGACAAAGCAAACCGCTTTTTTGGGAAATATACATGTTTATGTATTTATTTCTATTTATTCCCATTTCCTAACAGGAATGCTTAAATATTGTTACAGTATCTCTTAACACAGGACAGTTTTATACATAATACGAATACCTTATAACACAAGGGGAACGTGGCTTAAGGCCCAAGGTTGTTTGTAGGTCACGAATGTTGTCAGACCAGAGGAGTAATTTAACACTTTATGTTGGGATGTGATTTAGACATTGCAAAGAACATAGCTCTCAGCATATGAACAAATATGGGTGTTTATTGTCATTGCTGTCTTTAGGGTGAAAAAAAAAAAAAACCAAACCCAAACCCACAACACCCTAGGATACTTTTCTGTTAAAGTCTACAAATTCAAAATCAATAATGGCTGCAATGGAGACTGGGCTAGTGCTCATTTATGGTAAATGTGAGAAAAGACTTTTCTAAGCTTACTTCTAAATACGAAGTAAACCTGCTTGGATGGGAAATACTTGGACTGTGTACACTGCCGTATTCAGTGCCACAGCACAGCATGGCCTCCTGGGCCATCCACAGCCCTGCCCACGAGAGGAGAAGAGCATTGCTGAGCCATGTAGCCCTGGCCAGTCTTCCAGCATGTATCCATCCACCTGGAGGATGATGAGGAAGTGAGTAAAGATGCAGTGAGAGGCCAGGAGTTTGTACAGAGAAAAACCTTCATAGTAGGAACCAGAGAATGGAAGAAAAGGTTGTTGTTGTGTATCGTCAAGTTGGAACTGGCCCACGGTTGGCCCTCCATCAGGTTTTCAGAGGCAGTAAATCCCATGGAAGGACAGTGCCCATCCTTCTCCCACGGAGCAACTGGTGGATTCAAGCCACATGCCTTTGGCAGCACAACTGCCTACCAATAGGCCACCAGAGCTCCCTGAAGACAAGGCAGTTCTCTAATAATTGATATTTAAATCATTAATAAAGTAGTTAATAAACTTATCCTTTCACCCAATATTTCCTTTCTAAGCAAATCCCCATTCATTATCGTAACCTAATGATATTTTAGAAATCTTAGTAATACCCTGTTTTCTTAACTCTTCATCCTCTGAATTTATTTCTAATACTACAACTCAAGAAGAAAAACAGTACCTCTGACAATGTCTGAATCCTATCTTACTTTGATCTTTAACACAGGAGTCTACATCTCCCTAGCATCTCTGACTAATATTAAAAAGAGTGACCCATCCAGAATTGTGAAATAATCAGTTCACTGAAATCTAGGTCAGTCCTTAAGTATTTTGGTATCTATATTCCCAAGAAACATAGTCGAGTTGAAGGGCCAAAGATTTTGTAATAATAAGCAAGTATACTTTAGAAAGAACTAGGATTGACTGCAAGTGACTGAAAACTCAAAATAACAGAAGTGTAAACAAGGAATAAGTCTTTTTCTCTTGCATTTAAAAATCCAAGAAGGTGAATCAGGTTTCAGCTTTTTATCTTATAGCTCATGGCTGCTTCAGCTCCAGCTATAGCAGACATAAGCATTCAAGCACCAGAAAGGACCAAGAAAGAAAGTAGAGGATATACAATCTTCCTTAGAGGATGTCTTCCAGTAATTCATCGTGTGTGTGTGTGTGTGTGTGTGTGTGTGTGTGTGTGTGTGTGACATTGTCCTCTTAGCTGCAAGGAGAGCTTAGA